GGGGGGGGGGTGCTGCACATGGAACTATGCTCCGCCTACAACAGTGGCCATTTTTCTAAAAGGAAAATAGACATGCTTTAATTTTACAACTACAAATTGTTAGAATAAACAGAAAAAACTCACCCTGCATAGTGAGTGTCAAACAAGATTCCCTACAATGAAATACAGACATGCAAACAATGGCCTAGAATTCTGAAATGAAGCTCGAAGCTCAACAATTTCTGCAGTTATAATGAAGAGTCAGACCAAAACAATGCAAACTGCCTCCCAGAACCACTTTCAAAGCGTTCCCAGCACAATCAGGCCTTGACGAATCACAACCCAACTAACCCAAATCCTCAAGTATACTCTTGGAAGATAAAACGGGGGAAAAAACACGCATACAAATATCTCAAGACTACTTTTGTTTTAATCCTTCATCAAACATATTGCTGTGGAAACACTATCAAGCCCAAATGCAGACTTTTTCACATCTTCAGTCTTAGAAAATGTGAGGGACATTCTATAATTACTTTGAGTCATTTTTGAAAACCGAAATTTAATAATAATACCAACAAAACAATTCCACTCAATTGAGGTTTTATTTAAGGGGACAAAGTTTTATTTTTACTTACCTTGCCATCAAATTTGGAATACTCATTAAAGGGGTTATTCAGCTGTAGAGGGCACTGCTCCAGTCGTACAGATAATATTGACTGCTTTCCAGAACTTGGAGGTTTCTCTTTGAGGGACTTTTTTTCAAATAGTGACTTTAACTCCTGGGCTGTGATACAAGAGGAAGATAAAAACATCTTTGTGATTACACACAGAGAGACAGCCTGTCTACCTTCCCTAGCAAGTCTTCCTTGGAATCTTAAGGAGGGAGTGTCCGGGGCATATTCAGGTCTGATGTGTGCAAAAAGCCTCACATATACTTCGATGCTTGCACCCTGAAAAGGCAGATCCCTGAAATACGATCAGGTCAGGACTGTCAATTTAGAAGGACTAGGGTTTAAGGAGTGGGGCAGAGTCAAACCGACAGAGCAGCCATTCTGTAAGAAGAGCATTCACAGCTAAAGGACCTGAGCTTTGGCCTGGCTTTGCCACTAAGAGCTATGTGATAGACAGTTCACTAACGCTTTCTGGGCTCACTGAACTGGATAAGCTTGAAAATCTCTCCTGGTTCTAATACTGTGGGATTTTGGAATTCCAGTTCTTTAGGGTGAAGGTCTACATCTTAATCCTCTCATATTCTCCAGTGACACCTAGCACAAAATCTAGAAGACAAAGATGAGGAGGAGGAAAAGGAAAAAGAATTTAAAAAAAAATTTTTTTTTTAACGTTTATTTATTATTGAGAGACAGAGCAAGACAGAACATGAGCATGGGAGGGGCAGAGAGAGGAGAAGACACAGATTTTGAACCAGGCTCCAGGCTCCGAGCTGTCAGCACAGAGCCCGATGCAGGGCTCGAACCCACCAACTGTGAGATCATGACCTGAGCTGAAGTCGACGCCCAACCAACTGAGCCACCCAGGTGCCCCAGGAAAAAGAATTTTTATAATAATAGCAGCTAACGTTTATTGAGCAAGCCAATGTACCTCAATTACTCCTCCTAACAAGCCTATGAAGTGGATACTGGCATTATCTTAATTTTGTCAGTGTGGAAACTGAAGCCCAGAATACTTTGATTAGCCTTAGGCCAACACAGCTAAGAAATAGCACAGCTAAGACTTGCACTCAGGCAAGGCTCTTAGCCATTAGACTAATGAACAAAGTTGACCCTCAATAAATTTTATTGCATGAATCAGTGAATAAAATAATGATTGAAGAAATTCAGATTAAATTATTATTACATCAGAATCTTTAGCTCTTACTCATTAGTGAATCAAGACAAGTTAATTCCATATATTCTCATAGATCATTTAAGTGTCCATATTATCCTGAATATCATTTAAGGTGGTAGATACATAAGTACATGGAGATCTATTATACTCTCCATTTCTGTGAGTATTAGAAAATTTCCATACCTAAATTTAAAAATAAATCAATCTTAGATCTTAAAATCTGCAATGAGGGCCACTCTGGGAGGCTCAATTGGTTAAGTGTCTGACTCATATTTTATTTAAAAAAAATGTTTATTTATTTTTGAGAGAGAGAAAGAAAGAGAGGGAGACAGGATCTGAAGCGGGCTCTGTACTGACAGGAGACAGCTTGATGCGGGTCTCGAACTCATGAACCACAAGATCATGACCTGAACCAAAGTTGGATGCTTAACGGACTGAGTCATCCAGGCACTCTAAGCATCTGACTCTTGATTTTGGCTCAGGTCATGACCTCACAGTCATGAGATCTAGTCCCATGTCAGGTTCCATGCTTGCTTAAGATTCTCTCTCTCCCCCCCTCCAAAAACAAAAAACAAAAAAACTGCAATGAATAGGTTCAACCCCATTCCATTCTTGAACATAGCCAAACTGAACTTAGATCAAACAGAACTCTGAAATAGTGACTTAGAACTTCTAAAACATGTTACTAAGACCATCTTTTCAACAAACCAGTGGAACAAATTTATCAAATAAGGTCCTATAAATTTAAGTGGCAAACCAGAAGAAAAGGATCTAATTCTTTTTTAAAATGTGGCACATATTTAATTTCAGAATCTGAATATATACGTTCAAATAATCAACAGATATTAACTGCGCATTTGAAAAAGTTTTAGACTATTAAAGTGATATTTTAAATATTACAAGTATTATTCTGCACGTAATCTATTAATAATTTTATTGCTACACTTTGGAAAGGAATAACCCTTTATTAAATACCTACTATGGGCCAGGAACAATGCTCGGTGTTTTCTCAATTTGTCCTCTCAACAGTCTTAAGAGCTGGGTTACAACTAGCTCCATCAACAAACTGAGTTTAGGAAACGTAAGTAACTTATCAAAGTTACAGAACTATTATCAGTAAGGGTGTGAAGTGATGATAGATTAACTCTTCCATTCTCAGACTAATTCTAATTCACACTTAGAATTCTCTCCTCAACTTCTGACATTTTCCATCTCCCTCCCATCCATCCTTCTGTCCATCCGTCCGTCCATCCATCCTTCGTCATGGAGACAGAGAAACAACCAAAAGAGAACTTCTGCCTACCTTCCCCTCCTATTACAGCGGGTGAACTGGGTAGGCCCATACCTCAGGCCAGCTCCTCCTCTGCGCACTCAGGGGCTAACTTTTTGCTGACTCAAGGGCATCACTCAAGCAATTTTCTCTGATTTTTGGTTTTTCCTCCTACTGACTGGGTCGACTGCATCAGCACACAAAGATACTGAAATACTGCTCATTTAAAAAAAAAAAAATCCTTCTTTGATCCTGTACTCCCAGTTACTATACCACTTTTCTGCTCCTCAAAATGCTGTGTTCTTGCTGTCTGGTTCCTCCCCTCGCTTTCCCTCAAACCCACTGCAATCAACCACTTGGGATCCCCACACTCCTCAAAAGCAGTTTGCGAGGTCACCAATGACCCCTTATTGCTAAATCTACTGGTCCATTTGGAATCCTCATCTTTCAAGACTTCGTGACAGCATTTGAAACAGTTCATCACTCACTCCTTTTTGAACCAGTTTTTTCACTTGGTTTCCAGGGCTCCATTTGATCTGGTTCTCATCCTATCTTCCAGGTTACTCTTTCCTAGTTTCCTTGCCAATTCCTCATATTCCCCTCAAATCTTTGGCATTCCCCAAGTCATACTATTTGGATCTTTTCTTTTCTGTACCTACATTCATACCCTTGGTGATCTCAGCCGCCTTCTGTTTTAAATATAATCAACAAGAAGAGAAGCTAAATTGTGGTAATACAAATCAGAACAATAGCTGCCTATGGGGAGTACCCCAACTAGAAAGAGGCACGAGAGAACTTTCTGGGGTACACAAATACTCTATACTTGATTGGGATGCTAGTTACACAGGTCTATATGCTTGTCACAAGTCACTGAACTGTATACTTAATATCTGTACATTTCAGTATATAGAAGCATACCTCAATAAATAAATAAAAAGAGAAAGCCTAAATAAATATCATCTACATGCTGATAACTCCCAAATGATTATTCCTAGACCTAAACATTCCCTGAAATTACGGACTCACATATTCAGCTCCCTATATGGCACCTCCTCCACTTGGATATCCAATAGGTGTTTCAAACTTTATATGTCCATAACGGAACTCTTGATCTTGCCCCAAATCTGCCCCTCCCACAGGCTTCTCCTTCTCAGTTAATGGCAACTCAATCATGTTAGGCCAAAAACATCTCCACTCTTTTCTTTCTCTGATATCTAACATCCTATCCATCAACAGAAATTTCAGAATATATCCAGAACCATCTCCAAAGTTACCAACGCTGGATTATTACCACTACCTTCAAACTGATCTTGTTTCTGCCCTTGCCTCCCCCAGGCCCACTCCTGCCAGTCTCTTCCCAACACAGCAGCCAACAGGAGTCTTTTAAGATGTAAATTATAAACGTCACAGTAAGAAGAAAACAATATGACCACACAAAATAAAAACATTTTTGTATGGTAAAAAATTAGTAAAGTAAAAAGAAAAATGACAAACTAGAAAAAAATAAAGGTTAATATTCTTAATATATAAAGATTCTAAAAGTAGAGAAGACAGTGACCAACAATTCTACAGAAAAATGGATAAGAAATATGAAATGTCCACAGAAAAGGATATTCAAATGGTTCTTAACAAATGGAAAGATGCTCAACCACATTAATAATAATAATATGCTGAGATATACATCTATCAAATTGGCAAAAATCTGAAAGCTTACAGCTGTGAGGAAATAACATTCTGTACCTTATTAGAGGAATGCAAACTAGCAAAACACCTACCGAAGGGAATGTGGCAATATCAAGGGAGATCACATATTTACCCTATGACCCAACCATACCACTTCCAGGATTCTTAGATACACTGGGAAAAATAAACACAACACAACACAATGCATTAGGCTACTCACTGCAGTGTCATTTTCAACACCAAAAACCTGAAAACACTCAAACTTCCTTCAAAAGGAAACCAATTGGCTAAACTATGGCACCTCCATATCATGGCTTATTATGAAGCTGTAAAATGGAATGAAGCCTATCTCTATATATTCACCAGAGTAATTCCCAAGATGTGTTGCTAAGTGAAAAAAGTATTGCATAAAATGGTGTGTACAAAATGCTATTTATAACCTAAAAAGAGGGGTATATGAATATAAATATGCTTACACATAGATTTAAGCGAACAGAAAAACCAAAACCTTTTTTAAAATGACTATGAATAGAAGAGACAAGAATTGAAGCTAAATTTCCCTGATTTTACCTTGTTTTATGTACTCAACTTTGAAACCATGTACATTTTATATATTTCTTTAAAAAAATTAGAAGTGCAATTTCTAAAAATAAAAGCAAAGGCAAATGAACCCAAGTGTAATATTGAGTTGGCATTTTAACTACAAAGAGAGGAGTTATTTTAAGTAACTTTATCACACAGCAATTTGTACATTCCCTAATAGAACATATCAAAAGGGCAAAAAAGAAAAAATTATTTATCTATCTTCAACTGTTTTTAGTAATCATAGTGTTAGTAATGACGATGATATCTCTATTCTGGAACCAGAACTTTCAGCATAAGAAACAGATACATAGTGTTGTATGGAAACCAATTTGACAATAAATTTCATATGTTAAAAAAATAAATTAATTTTAAAAAAAGAAACAGATACATAAACATATAAT